TGGGAATACTACATTGACTTACCTGTAGGGTCGACAGATGTGTTTAAAGCAGCTGATTGATTATCTAGACAATATCCTGCTACCAATGCTACTACAAATAGACGATTGACTAATCTTTTCGCGGCAACTTGTTTGTGACGCCAACTTCGACGACATGAGTGTCATCGCAGATCCTCGTCTAACAACACTTACAATTACTCATAATGAGGTCGTTTCCGTCAGTCACTACCCAAAACCCGATTGGGCACCCATTTGGGAGAACGACTTACTGAAACTGTCCTTCTTGTGCTGAACGAGGTTGTTAGAAGGGAACTTTATTGCTATTAAGCTTGATGTTTCCACTTTATCGTCCTCTTCACAGAAGATAGTTCTAGGCTTCTGAACAACAAAAAACTCAAGTGAGACCTTTCATTTTCGAGTATTGCCACCGCCCTACCGGGGATGCTCCCGAAAAAGAAAACGCGACAAAGATAGTGTCAGACTCACCGAAAATTCTCCTTATGCCGCGGAGCACAAACTCCAACCCCGCGTGAAGGCTGGGAAACACTTAGACCTTATCGTGCCCTTTATCTCAAACAGTTTTGGGTCGAGCGATTATCTTGGGCTCATCTTCAAGCCTCGAAGAGGACAATGACCTAAACTAAGGTCACCCATAGTGCAGATTGCATCTAACTTCGTCTAACAACCTCGTTTGACACAACGAGTAAACATAGTTCGACATTTCATGCAAATTCTTCATAAGGGGGTAATATGTCATATTTGCGCCACAGCATAGACTGCTATAAATACATTTACCCCTGCAACTAGTTTTTACCATTGTGAAGGAGTATTTTGCCCGACAGTTGCCTTTGACCACTTCGGCAATAGGGATGGGAGATCTTTCAGGGGTGAGAACCAAACGCCACTGCCAGCAAAATATCGAAACATTAGGGAACTTTACCAGGCGCCTACCCCCTCCCTCCTCCTCTCGCTAACCAAGAGACGAGAGAGGGGTTAGGCGCCGGGTAAATTAGCACAACAACATTTGCAAGCATAGTGATCATCGGTAGTCAACGAGATTTCTATCGGTTGCTGTTCATAACTGGTATGCTAGCACTGAACAAACTTGTTAGTAAATGTTACAAAACATAAACATTGATCGACAGGCGTTATCTGGGCGTCTCTTCACCGGTACAGGGAATAAGCCATGAATTTGATTATTCCTGCATTTGGATAGCATATATGTGGTACCAAAACAAAGCCTTGAGAAAAAAAGGATTTCGGAAACTAAAAAGAAGAATTTCGAATCGATCATAACATTTAACTTCTCAGAATAGCTGCTGGCACAAGAATGTCAACGTACTCGCAGTGAGGAAGTGCAGGACGTTTTTAATGGGTTACCCGGCCAAAAGTTTCATCAGCAGGGAAGCTCCCTCATGAAAACTGCCTCACTCCCAGTAAAGCGGGAGA